CCCAGGTCGCCCACACCACGACCAGGTCGCCCACACCACGACCAGGACGCCCACACCACGACCAGGACGCCCACACCAGCCCCCCCCCCAACCTTCACCATCTACTCGCTCATACCTATAACCAGTCTACCACTTTCACTAAAACAAATATTACGTTTGGAAACAGATGTGTTTATTCACAATAAAAGTGACAATAACGTGATGTATGTACAAGAAAACCTTGGAGCAGGTCGGCAGGTTGGAACCAGCGTCCTGGGACACCCGCAGACGCACGCCTTAACCCACGGACCATGATATTCTGTAAGTTACACAACCTGGAGTCTGGCCGAACCCATTTGCTATGTGGAGGGACCGAGGAGGTACACAATCCAATTTTCACATGTAATACGCACACACTCTGGTGTTGGGTGTTTGCTTGCACAGGGAAAGTGTTGAGGCGAGATGGAGCGGCAACACACACTCCCCACTTCTGCAGACATGATGTCTCTTAACTAGGTGCACTATCTGCCTCTTGTTTAAGATGACACCCGTTAATAACTGATGTTGCAGCATCTTAGGCCCTAAATAAGCAAAATGGTTATCAGGTTTCAGAGATAGACGGAAGAACCAGGTGTTCGGCCCAACTTCATGAAAGGTCAATGCCTAAAGTGGGTTTCAGGAAGTCTGCAATGCGCTAAGATGCCTGACGAGTGATGGCCCCCCTCCCCTCTCATGGCCAGCCCTACTATCCCATCCTCACAGTTAGGTCTACTATTCCATCCTCACAGTCAGACCAACTCTCTTCACCCACGTCTCTAGCCTCACTGTAAGAATAGAATGGTGGACTGAAAACGGCAGCTGTGGTCAATGGCCTCAACTCGGTAAAAGTTGAATGCCATCCTCCGTAGTCTGTGAGTGATAAAACACCTCGTGACGGGGGTCGAAGCCGCCACCCGCTCGTAACGTGGGCACAACTGGCGCCGTCCAGCATGTGTTCTTTCCATAAGGTGGAGTTAAATGTGAACACCGCACACAAGTAGTGTGGGGTCGGTGTCTGGGGGTCGGTGTCTGGGGGTCGGTGTCTGGGGGTCGGCGTCTGGGGGTCGGCGTCTGGGGGTCGGTGTCTGGGGGTCGGTGTCTGGGGGGGGGGGCTGATTAAGGACCCCCAATCACCGCCTCTACAGGAAGGGAAACAGCTGGGGATGAATCAACTATCACTAACCAGTTCTTAATGGCTCCCTCTGCTACCGACCTGTTCTGCCTCTCCGAACTATATTTAACCAGACGACCATAATATTGGCCAAGACCGAGAGGAAACTGACCAGGTGAGAGGGGGGGGGGGGAAGTTGGCACCCCACCCCCCTTACTTTCTGTCTGGGTATGCAGGCCGTGTGCCTCCCCCCCCCCCCCACTCTCGCTTTCACCACCCACATAACGACTAGTGCCTAACATTGTAATTGTAATTGATAATGGGTCTGTTTTTCTTATCATTTGCCGTCAATCGGTTTTATGATTTGCGAGAAACTAGTTAATATTTGCGTTTACACTTAATACAAGAGAGACAGGAGCAATCTTGCAGGAGCTTTCACTAGAGGAGAAGAGAGGCGCGTGCACGAGTGACAGCACCTGCACTGATCGGCCCAAGTCATTCATGGTCCTGTCCCAACCTGTTACACCTGTCCTTCAAAACAAAAGCAGAGAATAAATTCCCATTTGTATGGTTGACAAATAACATTGTGGAGAAGGGCCAGTGAGGCAGAACTGGTCTGGCGAGAGTGAAAGCGCTCTGGTAGATACATCAACATGCAGTTGACGTCACCATCACACGTGACTAAACCTAAGGATGAATTCATTAAATTTGCCTTTTAAAAACGTTAAGTAGTTTTGGCAAGCAAAACCTGAGGTTGGGGGGAGAGGGGGATAGAGGGATATCATCCACCTTCTTGGGGCTAGGATTCTCAGGGCCTATATCAGTGGATCCAGAGCCCTCTTCCGATTACGGGCTCACCATAGCCCGTGCTACATGGACACTTCGTCCTGAGTAGCTAAATCTGAAACAACAACAACCACCCTCTTCCCTGGTCACTGATCAACACAGTAATAATCAGGAGCTCGGCAATGATTGATTGATGAAGATTAAGCCACCCAAGAGGTGGCACGGGCATGAATAGCCCGTAAGTGGTGGCCCTTTTGAGCCATTACCAGTATCAAAAGCTGATACTGGAGATCTGTGGAGGTGCGACTGCACCCTGCGTGACGGGAGATGTCTCCCGTGCTCGGCAATGATTCGATCTATCCTTTCAAACTTGAGCATACTGCTCCGGGATCTGCTGGTGCTCCGGAGGAAATACCGTCCCTGACGCACGACCCTCTACACGTCCAAGACGAAGCTGTCGTGCCAGTTTCTGCGACGACGGTACGAGCACGCTGTGCGTCGGGGCGTCCACACCGCAGAATGGAAGAAGGAAGAGGAGGGGGCATCTGGGACTTGTACAACGATGTAGGGTGTGCTGTGTGGGAGTGTGCTGTGTGGGGGCACACTGTGGGGAGACGGCGTGCGGGTCCTGGGGTTATCTACACCTTTCATACTATCTAGAGCGCCTCAACCACTTGTACTGCTCTGCATTGCGACGGTTTCCTTTCTTGCAGGTCGGTGTTCAATCCCCGACCGTCCAAGCTGTTAGACACCATTTCCTCCATCCTATCCAACCACCTTATCCTCAAATCTCCTTCAAGAGCTATATAATCGTAATGGCTTACCGTTTTCTCCTAATGATTACCTTGCCTCGCCACCAGGAACCGCTCCGTCAGAAGGGAAGGGAACTATCAGGAGAGAATACTAAGCTATTACGACTAAATAGCACTGGGAAGGGGTCAGGATAAGGCTTTGGGATGGGACGGGGGAAAGGAATGGTGCCTAACCACTTGGGCGGTCGGGGCCCTCCGTCAGAAACCCGTAGATGAGTGCCACCCGCCCCGGCCGCCTCCACGGTGACAACAACCAGCCTGGCACTGCTTGGTAACTACTCCACCGCCGCCACCTTACGCACCAACAAACAAAAACAAAACAGACGTGGATGATGCCTCCGCCAGACGCGAGAGTGAGCAGGAGAAAGTGAAGTAATCCCACCACAAGCAAGAAAATCGTGTAATTTTTCTTGTTTTTACAATGGTAAAACTCTTATTTCAACCAAACTCAAAAGGAAATGTATACAATTAACTGGTCCTGACCAGGTGCTGATGGCACCAGTCCCGACCACGGCGCTACACGACCAGGTGCTGGTGGCACCAGTCCCGACCACGGCGCTACACGACCAGGTGCTGGTGGCACCAGTCCCGACCACGGCGCTACACGACCACAGCCTCGGGTGAAGAAGCTGCGGGAAAGTCAGCTGGTGTGGAGAAAGTTTGGCCCGTCTGCAGCCTGACGCACAGACGTGCACACAAGTTTGTGTGTGAACACTCACGGTACACACCTGGAGTGTACCTCGAAGGGAAGGGAACGATCGGGAGAAAGCGCCAAGCAATTACGACTGTACAGCACTTGGAAGGGATCAAGGTAAGGATCTGGGATGGAACGGTGGGAAGGAACGGTGGCCAACCTCTTTGACGGTCGGGGATTGAACGCCGACCAGCTCCACGAAGAGAGACCATTGCTCTACGGTCCAGCCCAAGTGGTTAGGGTCCTGGAGGTGTAACTTGCAGTATTACGTCACAATACTCCCCACAACACCACAGTCAACCTACCAGTTGATAGGCGGGACCAATGAGCCAGAGCTCAACCCCCGCAAGCACAACTAGGCGAGTACAATAGAGCCGCTCCTGGCCCGGGTCTCACAAGACCTCCGTCTCACCAGCCTACCCAAGCACGTGACTACGTACAGTCACTACAAAGTAACAAAGATTTTCGTCTTGGTTACCAAATTCCCTCTCGCTTTCTTAAGAACTGTTAGGAAAGAAACTGTTGTTCCGTATGTGCAAGTTGCAGAAGCGATCGCTGGGAAGAGCGCTGCAGTGTTAAGACATTGTGTAAAGTGTTGGGAATAATTGAAGCCTTAAGAACCGTGAACACCGTTGGAAACAGCCTTCCAGATAACGCTGACAATAGTGTTAAACTGGTGTTTGGGGTCCCACACAAGGGGTGTAGGTGACTGGTGGCCACACAAGGGGTGTAGGTGACTGGTGGCCACACAAGGGGTGTAGGTGACTGGTGGCCACACAAGGGGTGTAGGTGACTGGTGGCCCACACAAGGGGTGTAGGTGACTGGTGGCCCACACAAGGGGTGTAGGTGACTGGTGGCCCACACAAGGGGTGTAGGTGACTGGTGGCCCACACAAGGGGTGTAGGTGACTGGTGGCCCACACAAGGGGTGTAGGTGACTGGTGGCCCACACAAGGGGTGTAGGTGACTGGTGGCCCACACAAGGGGTGTAGGTGACTGGTGGCCCACACAAGGGGTGTAGGTGACTGGTGGCCCACACAAGGGGTGTAGGTGACTGGTGGCCCACACAAGGGGTGTAGGTGACTGGTGGCCCACACAAGGGGTGTAGGTGACTGGTGGCCCACACAAGGGGTGTAGGTGACTGGTGGCCCACACAAGGGGTGTAGGTGACTGGTGGCCCACACAAGGGGTGTAGGTGACTGGTGGCCCACACAAGGGGTGTAGGTGACTGGTGGCCACACAAGGGGTGTAGGTGACTGGTGGCCCACACAAGGGGTGTAGGTGACTGGTGGCCCACACACGGGGTGTAGGTGACTGGTGGCCCACACAAGGGGTGTAGGTGACTGGTGGCCCACACAAGGGGTGTAGGTGACTGGTGGCCACACAAGGGGTGTAGGTGACTGGTGGCCACACAAGGGGTGTAGGTGACTGGTGGCCACACAAGGGGTGTAGGTGACTGGTGGCCACACAAGGGGTGTAGGTGACTGGTGGCCACACAAGGGGTGTAGGTGACTGGTGGCCACACAAGGGGTGTAGGTGACTGGTGGCCACACAAGGGGTGTAGGCGCAGTGTACTGACCTCTCGTGCATGATGACCGCCAGCTCCTTGCAGAACTCCCCACCAGACTTGATGTAGCGGCGCAGCTCGTCGAAGCCATTGTGACCCTGAGGAAGACGACGGAGAAATAGTTACCACAGCGTAGTTACGTCCACACACACACGCGGGAAAAAATATAACACCTAAGCAGTATAGTTTGTTACTTTCCATAAATCTGGTATTGCAACAACCTATAGAAAATTGTTAACGAGTGATGTCTGTGTTCAACACTTCGCTTGTGAAATGGAACTGTCCCCCCCCCCCCCGTGTTCAGTGTGTCCTGGTGTCCACTCTAAGACATTTCCTCCACATTAAACTCTGTATTTGTACCATGTGCTGTTGATCTTTATATCACAGAGTTTCAGGAACCCAGAGGTGAATACATGCACGTGTTGGCTAGTTCCTCAACCAAGGCTCAGAGTTTTCCCTATTTAACAGTACGATGTATGACACTAGTTGGGACATTAGTGCTCGCCTATTTCACTAACAATTTAAATTAGTTGTTTCACTTCTCGGTAGATGTTAGACATTTAATTGACCTTTCTCAGACTGGCCTCCAGGGGTATACTGGTATACCCTTTAGGGGTATACTGGGTAGTTCGTTAGTTTGATCCTAACAATGTCCTGATTGCTAAGTCAAATTTATATCTATAAAAGATAACGTCTGCGTCTGAGACTGGGGGTCGTCTGAGATTGGGGGGTCGTCTGAGATTGGGGGGGTCGTCTGAGATTGGGGGGGTCGTCTGAGATTGGGGGGGTCGTCTGAGATTGGGGGGGGGGGGTCGTCAGATGCTTGGGACCAGCCTCACTGAACGCTGCAGGATGACTAATCTGTGTCCGGGGAAGGTCATAGGCGGACAGGGGGTCGATCCCCATGCTAACCCCAGGACAACACACGAGACACGGGCAGCGTCCCAGGCCATCCTGAGACGGTGACATTAGGACGTGATCAGGAGCATCACAGAGCAGCAGCTGGAGACCTTGGTGTTCCCTCAGGAGGCTCCTGAGGATCACGGCCCTGATCATGAAGGAATGTCATGCAGACCTTGAGAGAACACTTTATACAATAACACGCACCTCGACCTCACCCTTGAGCACGCTACGTGGCCAAGGTGCAGCGCTACGTGATGGGCGCTCTACTATCCTTCACCTTAGAGCCAGGGAAGGGGGGGGGGAAGGATAGAAATAGCCTAAGCTACTCTATCCTTTTGAGATGTATTTTATTGTCTCAATAAATGTACTTGAATTTAGAGCCAGTGGCAAAATTGTGACAACAATTCGTAACATGACAAACTCGGTACATTCAATAATGAATAATAACAACAATGCAACTACCCAGCAACACTATTGCAGTCATTTATAAGCTCGACCAAGAACCATGTTCCAATACCGCAAACACTTCAAAACTACATTATACAAATTGACTTCAAAATGTAAAAAAAGGGACTTGTAATAACCCCCCCCCCTCTCTCCCTTTACACCAACCACACGAAACTGAGAATATTGTTCTTCAGCTGGAGCGGGCCTCGGGTCGCCATTCTTCATGTAATCCAACTGTATGTAGTACTCTTCCTAAATCAATCTTAATACCCTGTTCACTTACAAGGAATTAAGTGGCAATGCATAGACAGGAAGTGGACCTTCGTATTTTTGTGTATGCATTCCGTAGGGAGCTGGAAGCTGTAGGTCTACTAGGAATGAGGGAGGTGGGGGGGGCGTCCTAGTGAAAAACAAGCCCCAGTACCTGCTGACGGGCTCACCATAGCCCGTGCTTCTTGCCCCGCTCCTGTGCCAGGTAAGTTACAGGCTCACCATAGCCCGCGCTACTTGGAACTTCTTCCGAGTAGCTGAATCTATAACAACAACAACCTGCTGACGTTTCGGACACTGAACAGTGGCAGCCTTTAATACGTGGGGAAGCGTCCCTTTGGGGGCGGAGATTGTAAATGTCGGTATAGCCTCAATATTCCCACGGTAAGTTGTGTGTGGTCCGCTGGAATGTTAAGCTGTGGGCATTTATGTAAGTGGGTCAATGGTTTGTTTGTGTGGTCGGGGCTAATGTGGCTGGCTTGCTTGCTTTGTAATGAAAATATAAAATATAATAAATATATAGAGGAGGATATCTTGAATTTCTGATTAGTTTACGGATGGGAGGCTAAAATGCGAGAGATAAGGATGGATCCCATCTAGTAAAAGCACAGTACCAGGAAACTTAGCCTTGTACCAGGAAGGTACAAGGAAACGGAACCACATTACCAGGAAAGACCATATCTTCTTACATGTCTCCAGACCCTCATGAATTTCTTTCTGATAAATTATTTTATTACCGAAATGATTCAAATATTGTAGGTATTATGTATCTTTTTGTATTTTGAATTGCACTGTTTTATTCGCTCATTTGCTTCCACTCGCATTGTATTTTCTATAGCCTCAAGAATGCCAGCAATTGCAGCGAGTAATGCTTTGTCGCGTGAGCCGTAGCTGTTATGGGCCGGCTGTGTGTAGGCGGATAGCGAACTTGAGGATGACAGCAATTTTCGTGTGTATCAAAAAAAAAACAAAGGCCTGGAGTATGCAGCTCCACCCTGGAGTTCATACATAGTTAAACACAAGACAAAGTTAGAGAACATTCAGAGGTATGCCACCAGACTAGTCCCAGAACTGAGAAGTATGAGTTACGAGGAAAGGCTACGGGAGCTTAATCTCATGTCCCTGGAAGACATAAGAGTAAGGCGAGACATGATCACCAAATACAAAATTCTCAAGAGGAATTGCCAAGGTGGACAATGACAAACTACTTAGCACGGGTGGAACACAAACAAGGGGACACAGGTGGAAACTTAGTACCCAAATGAGCCACAGACATTAGAAAGTTTTTTTGTGAGAGAGCAGTTAACACATGGAAAGCACTAGGAAGTGATGTGGTAGAGGCTGACTCCAAACACAGTTTCAAACGTAGATATGACAGAGACCAGTAGGCTCAGGGATTTAATAATTCATATTATTCTCTATTATTCAATTATAATTATTATTGAATAATTATTATTCAATAATAATAATCATCGACTATCCAGAGAATCTATCGAAACTGATGCTGCTACAGGAGAAGACATACACAGAAATCTGTGCCCTGTAGTTGCAACAGTTCCGACAGTTGAACACCAGGTGATTGACAGTCTAGAGGCAGAACCAAAGAGCCAAAGCTCAACCCCCGCAAGCACAACTTGGTGAGTATATTGTGAAAAATGCAAGGAACAATAAGTATATATTTAAAATGGAGTAAATCAAGTTACATTAAAGAATTATTTATATATAATTAGGGTGTTCTAAAATTTATGTAATTGTCTATATTTACGTACTTAATCAAGATCTCCAAAGGATTAAGTTTGTATCAATAACAACTTCGCCTAACATGAATTCACCTTGCCACTGGTGACTGTATCAAGGTGGAAGGAAACACTCGATGGAGTCAGATCAAGGTCAACTACCCTTAATCACAGTGACGCAGGAGGCGATGTTGAAAATGCCGAGTGGTGTACGCCGCTTCTTTGTGTATACACACAGGTTTACTTTGGTCCTGACCTATGTTCAGGGCTAAATTAGTCTGACTGGGGGCAGGTCAGTAGCCTAAGCAACCGAGATAGTCTTTATAGCCCTCCTGAGAAAGACAGACTTGAAGCGAACCAAGCGACACTTCGCAAACATTAAAATGTATTTAAACTATTGCAGTCTATTGAGCCATACAATCACGGGATTATTGTTCTAAGTCTTAAGCTAGATTATAAATATATAATTATTATAATGATAAAAAAATAATAATAATTCCAATACTCTCTTGTAGGATTGAGATTTTATGCATTCACCGCCAAGATATAAAGTACACAGAGAAAATACTGAGAAGCCTCGTTAAAAAGACAGATCCTAATTAGCCTGGCAGATGGCGTGCCTGAGAAGGCATCCCACACAACTGCATTATGCACCAGTTCATATCCAGCAGGATACAATATATAAAAAAATCAAATCTAAAAACTAATTGCCCACTGCAAGTCAGCATTATTCTAAAATTACAGATAATTAATCTGGATTTAAAATGTGTCCAGATATTGCAATGATTACCCAAACGATGAAATAAAAAAAAAATGGTTAAAATTTAATTTAGAAAATGCTCACCAGGAAAGTGAAAAATTGAACCAACACTCATTCAACTTTTCTTCCCGAAAAATACATGGCATTTTGATGCATCTTTTTCGCCCGTAAGGCCAAATACTGATGGTTTGTACTAAAAGTGACCTCATGTCTTATTTTCTATCCGTAGGCTAGGCTATCCAAAATTACAGCCGTTGGTTTCAAAGACTGTAATCTAAGCTCCCGACAATAACGAAAAGATATTCAACAGGACAGCAGAGGTCTTCCATCAAAAAGTTTAGCTATTATGTGAACTTAATTAATCAGCAATGATTACAAAACATTAAACGCTTTACCTAACGTTCACGGCACAAGAGTCAACAAACCACAACGCGTGTAAATATACGCTTTGCATAACAACGTACAACTAAAGACTGAGCCAAGCAACTCTTAACGTGACCACAAATGCTCCCCAGGTCATATTACTCAAGCCACAAACTATTTACATATTAAACAAGTGAACTTATGGTCATACCCCAAAGTTGCAAAAAAGTGACCCATACTCTACTTTGGTTTTACATAATTGGTTTTTCTCTAACACAAAAGAAAAGCTTTATGAATAATAGTAACTAAAACCTCTAAAACCCATAATTTCTTCAGAAATTACTGCCTGAGCATTCACCCATCTATAGTCTTGAACTTTTGCAGGGCCACACCAACCTAATACCAAAGACCAATATAGAGAAAGCCGAAAATCATATGGTAACGTAATCTAAAAGTTCAGCTTGTACTCTTGGGCCGCGTTACAGCCTCTCAGGTAGGACGAGTTGGAAATAAGCTCCGATGGTGTGGATACAAGTTGACCAGAGGTAGGTCATTAGACTAAGTATACATATGGACGTGTGGTGTGTTACGTACTCCTAGCAGAATACGTATATAAATT